GTTTAAATGCTCTATTAAGTGACATTTAAACCCCTATTTTTAGCTGGATTAGCTTGACGGATGGTCATCAAAACAATTAAAACATGACTTCACTTACGTCATATTCTGCATGGTCTTAAAACTTTTAATGGTTTATTTACACAATTTATGATGGCATAGCTGTCAAAACTGGATAAATGAGGAAATAGGGGCAAACTTCTGCACCAATGGCAAATTCTGGACCTTTGTCTGGTGGTCTTTCGAACCACCCGAACCTATACAATATTATATTTGTGCATATACATTAGATTAGTCAGTACTGAAGCCAAATGTGCTTATCTAACAAAATAGCTGATGATAACTGTCCAAAAACGAGTACACCCACCCAAATTTATAGAAAATATTAATTACAAATTTTAAAAAAGAGGAAAAATGAAGAGAACCAAAACAAAAGAAGAATTTTGTCAAAATTTTGCTATATTTTTCTTATATTTAATTGTAATATCTTTCAATTTCTAAACATGTTTGGTGACTAAATTATTATTTCAGTAAATATATAATGTCTCTATTAAATCTGTCTTGTTTAAATGAACCAAAATAAATATTCACTGAGAAATGGATAAACATATATATATATGTATATGTTTATCCATTTCTCAGTGAATATTTCTTTTATTCTTCCCCCAATTTTAACGCAGAGAAGATTTCTTTAGCACATTTCTGAACATAATAGTTTTAATAACTCATTTCTAATAAATGATTTATTTTATCTTTGCATGATGACAGTAAATAATATTTGCCTAGATATTTTAAGACACTTCTATGCAGCTTAAAGTGACATTTAAAGGCTTAACTAGGTTAATTAGGCAGGTTAGAGTAATTAGGCGAGTTATTGTATAACGATGGTTTGTTCTGTAGACTATCGAAAAAATATAGCTTAAAGGGGCTAATAATTTTGAAATTGTTTTTAAAAAGGCAAAAATAAAACAAATAAGCCTTTTTCCAGAAGACAAAATATTATCAGACATACTGTGAAAATTTCCTTGCTCTGTTAAAAATCATTTAGGAAATATTTAAAAAAAAGAAAAAAATAATTAATAAGGGGGGCTAATAACTCTGACTTTAACTGTATGTTTATGTTTATATATATATATATATATATATATATATATATATATATATATATATATATATATATATATATATATATATATATATATATATATATATATATATATATATATATATATATATATATATATATATATATATATATATATATATATATATATATATATATATATATATATATATATATATATATATATATATATATATATATATATATATATATATATATATATATATATATATATATATATATATATATATATATATATATATATATATATATATATATATATATATATATATATATATATATATATATATATATATATATATATATATATATATATATATATATATATATATATATATATATATATATATATATATATATATATATATATATATATATATATATATATATATATATATATATATATATATATATATATATATATATATATATATATATATATATATATATATATATATATATATATATATATATATATATATATATATATATATATATATATATATATATATATATATATATATATATATATATATATATATATATATATATATATATATATATATATATATATCTCTATCTCTATATATACATCTACACACACACACACACACACACACACACACATATATATATATATATATATATATATATATATATATATATATATATATATATATATATATATATATATATATAT